CTGTCAACTTAGACAGCTCAGAAAAAAAGAAAATAGACAGACGTCTAAAGCCCTGTTCATTTGTCCACTTAAATCTCATCTTGTTTATCTCACTTCAATGATTTTATTCCTTCGTCCTTTTCATTTGTGTGACTGTCTAACCCTTGTTCGAACATTATTTGTCTGTCGAAATTTTTGTTTGTCTGTCTGACTTTAAATCTGTCTGTCTGTCTGTCTGTCAAGCAATTCTATTTCTTTATCGCTCGACTATTCTTTCAATTTAACCGCCTGTCAGATGCTTGGTTTTAAATTTCTGTTTCTCCGTCTGTCAATCTAACCAGCCATTTCGTTTGTTTGCCTGTCTAAATCTCTGTTTGTTAGACTAATAGTTTGTCTAGGTTTATCTTCGCTTAAATTTCTAAATTTTCTTTTGTCTGTCTGTCCCACTCACAGCTCGCGTGTCCGCCTGTCTGTACGTTTATTTATATTCATTCCCTTCTTCCAAAAAAAAAAAAAAAAAAAAATGCTATCTAATTCCACATTCGTTTGTCTTTCTGTTCGTCAAATTTCATTTTCGCTTGTCTGTCTGTTTATTTATTTATTTATTTATTAATATTTTTTTTCTCTTTATTTTTTTCTTTTGTCTCTTCGTCCATCAATCATATTTTGGACATATTCTCCATGTAAGCTTTTCCGTTTGTCTGTCTGTTCGCTTATCTTTCAGACTATCCCGTAAACCTTGTGTATTCGACTGGCTGTCTTTTTGTTTGTAGGTTTATCTATCAAGCATACGTACCTTAATATATGTATTGCTTGTTGGACGTCTTGATCTATGATATCATATTAAATGGACCTGTGTATTTAAATTGTTGCCAAAAGTGTCTTGTTCGTTTGCTTGTCTGACCAACTTTGAGTCTTTCTTTTTCATCCATCTTTAGTATCTGTCTCCTATTATCTGTCTGTCTGTTCGTCGATTTGCTTTATTCGCTTTCGCCTGTCCGCTTGTCCGTCGTTTAATTCCTTCCCAGCTGCTTCAGCAATCATCCCTTTTGTTTTTGTTTCCATCGGCTTGTCGCGTCGTCTGATTTTGATACAACTTTGTCTCCTTAGCATTCCCGTCATGCTTTTCTCGTTTTTACTTTGTTCGTCAATTCCTTTCTTTCTTTCTTTCTTTCTTTCTTTCTTTCTTTCTTTCTTTCTTTCTTTCTTTTTTTCTTTCTTTCCCCAGGAATGTGTTTATAATAATACTTCTGATCTTCGTCAATACCCGCGCGTTCTTGATCGGCAGGTTGCGGCCCAGTCAGTAAACACGTTGATTAACACGTTAAGTTTGAAATGCTTCGTACCTGTCTGAGGTTGTACATGAGGGGGTGGGGATCTACCCTGACTCACATTCTAGTTTCGGTTTCCCACAATTCGTTCATTGTATCTGACAATTTATCTGTTTATCTTGCCTTGAATTCATCTTTTACACGATAGGAGACGAAATGACTGACTCTCGTTATATATATATACAAAAAGATATATATATATATCTTTGTCTCGCCATTTCTTTCTGTTTCTTAAACTTGTTTCTTTTGACTTACCTGTCTCAATTTTTTTCTTTCTTTCTTTCTTATGATCTTTCTTTCTTTCTTAAACTTGTTTCTTTTGACTTACCTATTTCTCTCTCTCTCTCTGTGTATCGCCATTTCTTTCTTTCTTTCTCATTTTTCTTTTGTCTTTCTTTCTTTCTTTGAAACAGTCACCTCTTTTTCTTAACCTTTCCTTTCCACAGTGTTTTCTTTCTTTCTTTCTTTCTTTCTTTCTTTCTTTCTTTCTTTCTTTCTTTCTTTGAAACCGTCACCTCTTTTTCTTAGCCTTTCCTTTACACAATGTTTTCTTTCTTTCTTTCTTTCTTTCTTTCTTTCTTTCTTTCTTTCTTTCTTTCTTTGAAACCGTCACCTCTTTTTCTTAGCCTTTCCTTTACACAATGTTTTCTTTCTTTCTTTCTTTCTTTCTTTCTTTCTTTCTTTCTTTCTTTCTTTCTTTCTTTGAAACCGTCACCTCTTTTTCTTAGCCTTTCCTTTACACAATGCTTTCTTTCTTTCTTTCTTTCTTTCTTTCTTTGAAACCGTCACCTCTTTTTCTTAGCCTTTCCTTTACACAATGCTTTCTTTCTTTCTTTCTTTCTTTGGAAACTTTCTTTTTTTTTAGCTTTTCTTTTAATGCTTTCTTTCTTTCTTTCTTTCTTTGAAACCGTCACCTCTTTTTCTTAGCCTTTCCTTTACACAATGCTTTCTTTCTTTCTTTCTTTCTTTCTTTCTTTCTTTCTTTCTTTCTTTTCTTTCTTTCTTTCTTTCTTTCTTTGAAACCGTCACCTCTTTTTCTTAGCTTTTCCTTTTTTAATGCTTTCTTTCTTTCTTTTCTTTTCTTTCTTTCTTTCTTTCTTTCTTTCTTTCTTTCTTTGAAACCCTCAACTCTTTTTCTTAGCCTTTCCTCACCCCTTTTTTTCTTTTCTCTCTCTCTCTCTCTCTCTCGC